AACTAGAACTAGAACTAAAATAACTGTAATTTTAGTCAAAAAACTAGAACTAGAACTAAAATAACTGTAATTTTAGTCAAAAAACTAGAACTAGAACTAAAATAACTTTAATTTTAGTCAAAAAAACTAGAATTAGAACTAAAATAACTGCCTTTTCGATCAAAAACTAGAACTAGAACTAAAATAACTGTAATTTTAGTCAAAAAACTAGAACTAGAACTAAAATAAATTTCTGTACTAGAACAACACTACTGTGAGTTAGAAAATGAGGATACAAGAAATTCCATCACTTTCACTACATTAGCTTCTCCAAGACCTTGGAAGTTGAACAAAGTAGAGAGATGGGTTTATAGTTACGGACTGAGGATTTGTCTCCAGACTTGTGGATAAAAGTTATTTTGTGAACTTTCCATTCATCTGGGAGGGTGGCATACTTTAGAGATAAATGAAATAGTTGTTGAAGAGGGACACAGAGAGGAGCAGCACAGGCCTTGAGTAGTTTAGGACCTATTCCATCTACATGTATACCAATTGCTTTTGAGCAGGGTTGGAGCATCAATGGTGAATATTGCATTTGAAGATACTGGGGAGTAAACTGAGTGAAAATACTCATTAAAAAGGGGAGCTTTGTCAGGGTCAGATGATGCTGTTTTAGATTGTAGAGATAACTTAGGTGGTAGCTGACCCTGTTTGATGATAGATTTGACATAAGAAAAAAAAACTGGTCTTGTCGTCATGTAATTGGGCAATGAATGAAGATTTAGCCTGGGCAATGTCATAGTTTAAGTTATCACTAGAAATTGAGACTTTAGCCTCCATGAGAGGTGAAGGATGTGACCTGAATATTCGTTGTAAAGTCCTGTGACAATTGATTTTGTGCCTTATACTCTGATCAAACCATTTAGGTGAGTTACCAAAACAACGAGTAGTAGTAGAAACCGGCACAAACTTATCAACAGCAACATTAATGGCAGATTTAATAAGATCCCAAGCTGCTGAGACATCGGAGGAATTAAGACAGGCAGAGAAATCCCAGTCTAGAAGAAAATCACACATGCTCCCATAGTCAGCTTTTTGCAAAGTTGAGAAATTGAGCAGGAGAATGAGAGGCATTGGGAATAGACAAAGGAGAGAGGATAGAGAAGGTTGATTAGAGACTAGAGGAAAGATGTTTTGATTAATACATCATTTGATACACAGCCCCAAGAATTTGTTATCACTAGATCCAGGAGATTACCTTGCTTGTGAGTGGGGCAGTCAATGACTTGGGCAAGGTCATGATTAAAAATTATATCACATAGCTCTGGGGAGAGAGATGAGGAATGGACTCTTGGTAAAATTTAATAATAATTTATTATCTGATTTATTCATGAGAATTAGGTTTATATCACGTGACTAGTTAGTATCCTTATGAAGTTGAACACGTGTATCCGTGTGGCACTGGCGTAGCTGTGCCTGGATGCTTGCTGGTGTAATCGAAACTAAAAAACTAGCTAAAAGGCTTCAGATTTTATCTCTGGTTTTACTATGGGTGAAGGTATATTGTCATATTGTTAATTATGCTGGGATCCTTTTCTTGTAGAGTACGTTTATGTAGCAACAAGTGACGTTGGTCGAGTAATTGGTAAGGTTTTGTGTGTGTGTTTGTGACTGTGTGTCGATGTATGTGCCAGCATTCATTATTTGGTCTACTGTATGGTTATTGATTTTGGAGGATCCAATACTTTGCCTTTTCTTGAAAATGTCTTTAGAATCTAATGTTTGTGGGTACATTTGTGGCTGGCAGTTAGTAAACTGTGTTTTCACTTGGATTTTAAGCTTTTGTTTGTGATACATGGCATGTAGTGAAATAGGGAGTGACAGACGAAGACTCTCGTTCCTCCACTGGCTTGATAAACGAAAATTACTTGTATTTAGAACTCTGCACTGGCCTGTTAAATGTCAATGCTAATTAGTTTTTTTATGTGGGTGTTAGACTGTTAGGGGTTAAAATTTTTTGGATTAACCTAGGAAGTGCTGTATACCATATAGCGGGTTTCTTCCGTTTGGTCAAACTTTCGTTCTTTTCGTTCTCCAAGCTCCAAAAACGAAAGTTAAACCCACGAAATTTGCTGTGGGAGAGCTCAATCCGGAGTTCATCTTTGTCGGGTTAACACTAACACATGCACACGTGGGTGATGTGGGTGGGGTTGTTGGGTGTAGCTTAATTCTTGCAGATCAGAAGGACGAAAATAAAACCCATGAAATTGGATTTCCTCCTAGAAAACGAAAGTTTGGCCGAACGAAAGAAACCCGCTATACGGTAATCGAATGGCCACAGTTTATGTAATGGAAGAATAAAGATAATTTAATTGTTACATTATGTAAACGGTGTCTTAATATTGAGCCTTATGTAAGTTTTTCAGTTTGAATCAGCTTTCACTTGTGAAGTGGAGTTTCCTGATTCAGTTTGAACCCTGGTTTTTTTCATTTTAAATTTAATTTTACACGATTAGTTTCTCTTTTAAAGAAAGAAATGCTCAGCGTTTTGTTTGAACGCATATCTGGTAACAAAATTTATTACAAATAAGTTCTGCATAATAAATGTTTTTTTACTCTTCTGTGCCAAAAGAGTTCACTTGAAAAACAGTTGTATATTCCACTATGACTGATAACCTTAGGCCACGTTTACACGTATTCGTTTTCTACACAAAAATGAAAGGAATTGTCTGCGGATACCCGTTTTGTTTACACTAAAATGGAGGTATACGATTACATGACTGAATACGCTCACCAAAACGAAGATCACTGGAAACGAAGGATACTTGGACACGTGTAAACAAGCAAGACAGGGAAAATGAATGCAATTATAGGTGGGGTGGATTTTTGCTTGTAGGTGGAGCATCAAGAAAAATGGCGCCCAAGGTAGCTGCTCTGCTTTTGTTACTTTTTAAGGCGATATCTCTTTATAAGATGACTACTCAGTTATTACTATGCACCGGAAAGAACTATTGTCAAAAGAAGAAGTTGTATAATGAACTTATTGGTTTGATCAGTGGCTCTCAGGCTCAGCTGATGAGAGTCAAGCGGATAAAGAAGAAAAGGAAACCTAGGAAGTACTGGGTCAGACCTGGCAGGACCTCACTTTGGTGGGATAATATGAGAAGAGGAGAAACTGTGGATGAAGAATGGAAAGAAAACTTGCGAATGTCTAAACCCAGTTTTTTAAAGCTATGTGATGAACTTCATCCATTCATTGTGAGACAAACAACTATTATGTGATCACCAATTGATGTTGAGAAGCAGGTAGGAATCATGTTATACTATTTAGCAGATGAAAGCAGATTAAGGAAAACAGCAAATTCATTTGGTCTTTCAAGAGCCTCTGTGTCCATCATAATTAGACTAGTTACAACTGTCATATCATTGTACCTTGGGAAAAAGTACATCAAACTTCCTGTCACAGAGGAGGATGTTCAAGACAAAGTTAAAGGGTTTTATAATGCATTTAATATCCCTCAATGCATTGGAGCAGTAGATGGGACGCACATAGAAATCAAACAGCCTCATTCAAATCCTACCGACTATATAAACAGAAAATCACGTTACAGTTTAAATGTTCAAGCCTGTTGTGATTACCGCTATTGCTTTATAGATGTTGTGGTCAAATGGCCTGGAAGCGTCCATGACGCTCGAATGTTTGCTAATTCAAAATTGAATCAAATGCTCAAAAACGAGATGATACCTCCATGTAAACGACGAATTGATGATGGAGAGATTCCAGTACCGGTATACTTGTTAGGAGATCCAGCATATCCACTTATGCCGTACATTATGAAGGAATACACTTCAGGTGGTACAACACCAAGAGAACAATACTTTGGCTATAAGCTTTGTAGCGCACGAAACGTAATAGAATGTTCTTTTGGGCGTCTGAAGGCGAGGTTTTCCTGTCTCAAGAGGGCCATGGACATCAACATCAATGATATACCAATGGTAATCTATGCCTGCTTTGTACTGCACAACTTCTGTGAGTTGAACAATGAAGCTATACATGAAGAATCAGTTAGAAGTGCAATATCATATGACAGGATTTTCAGCCCACTACAGCAGCAAGCAAGTCCATAGCTGATAAAAACGAAACTGAAGGAAAGAGAGTGAGAAATGTACTAGCTATGTACTTTGACCCATAATATTTGTTGGTTTGAAGTATTATTGATAATCACTGTAATGTTAATACCATTGAGTAGATATACATGTACATACATATAATCATAATAATACATGTATAATAATAATATTATACAATAGCAGATGTACACATACACGTACATAATAATAATTGTACATGAATATTATATAGATGTACATACATAGCAAAAATCAATATTTGTATACATGAGTGTAATACCTGAGTAGACATACATAATCATAATCAGTAGATGCACATGAACAATAATGTATTGTAATAAGTCCATCGCTTTTACTATTGATTCATATTCCAAGTACTAGATGATGCTTCAGCTCTACTAGAGGGATACATCGGGTTATGTGGTGGCAGAGATGGACTAGACGCTAGTTGTCTATTAGCATAAATGGAAGGATGTGGAGTCATATACATCATCCTTAGAAAGGCAAAACCTTCACTAATAGACTAAGATAATTTTTCCAAATTCTTTGACATCAATGAAACAGTTTTGGTGTACTGCTTGTCTACTTTATCCATTTGCTCCACCAAACGTCTCTTTATCCTAATGTCTTCTTGAGCACAATCTAGCAATTGAGCATCGACGGGTGGCTTTCTCTTCATCTTCTCTTGTTTATTCTCACAAAGCTTCTTATCCAGAAACTCCCTTCTCTTTCTGACTGTAGATGGTGTTAGTACTGCTGAAGTACTGTTGTTATTGCTAGCATCTTCCTCGTCACTTAGTAGATTGTCACTTTCGTTATCCTTTGAGTGAACATCAGTGTCTATATCTGTACTTGAAGTAGTAGGGGTCAATACATATTCTGATTTAGTCATATCAACACTCTCTATTCCCGATTCTATTTGTTCTGTCGCTGGTGAACCACCCCACACCTTCTCACATAACTCAAAGTACAACATCACTACTCTACCGTGACCACTACGTCTACCAGAATTGACAGACTGCCTATATTTCTGTCTAATAGCTTTTAGCTTTGTTGTTAATATTTGTTTCGTTACTTCAGTTTTTGTGTGAGGGTAGTTCTTGGCCAGACCACAATCTATATCATCTTTTTGTGCTGCTGTAAGTGGCTCATCAGGCAACTCAGCCTTGAAGCGCTCCAATATATCCTCGTACTTGCTCTTGACTGATTCCCAATCTGTATTCTCTCCAGCTTTCATGGTCTTATAGTCGTAGCTTATGTTTAAAAGTAGCTCTGCTTCATCGTCTGTCCATTGAAAATCCTTTTTAGCAGATGGAGCTGTCCCTTTTTTTAGGATTCTTCTTATTAACACTCTTATTTGCACCTCGATTAGCAGCTTTGTCAGTAGCCATCTTGGCCCTTGGGTAGATCATGTGAGAGTTTCCATGGTAACGGTAAGTAACCATCCGTATACTTTACCCATGTATAAACGCTGGAAAACGAATTAATAAGATACGTGTAAACAGTGTGTGTTGTGGATTCGTTTTTTCTTTATCAATATCAAAATGAATACATGTAAGCGTAGCCTTAATCTGTAATCCCACTTTAATTTTTATACTCAACAACAACCTGCAAAACTAAAATTCCTCAGTTATACATGTAGATTGACTAGATTCCTAAAATAATGTGTATCTGATAATATACCATGGAATTGTGTTGAAAAGTATATCTAAACTGGTATCTTGTGTGAACATTGTAGAACCTGAGAACATGTTTTTTTTGAAGTGGAAGCTAGGAAAGTATTGCCATTATTTTTGAGGAGTAATTGGGGGAAATGTGATATCTTGGTCTCAAATGTTTTGGCTTCATTGATTTTGGATTCTATTCTATGATTTCTATCACGTTTTTTTTGGGTAAATATATGCACAGTACATGTAATTTTCCAATTCTTAGTTGTACACATCTAGTACAGTACATGTAGGTAGTCATATTAGTACTATGATACATACGAGTATATTCAGTTTATGTGACTTGTGAAAGTAGGTGTTTTTTTTACAAGTTGAGACTTTCAGTTATAGTATAGCTTTTAGTAGCGTCAAAACTTTGTAAGATTAATACGATTAACAAGTAAAAGTGGAACGTCAACATATACATTAATGTGGTTGATGCCTATTGTATAATAAGTGAAAATTTACTATTGTACATCTTAGTTTGTCCTTTCTGACTTTATTATACATGTATATGCATTTTTTTTCTTTTTTTTTATTTTATTTTATTTTGTTTGTATCAGGATGTCAGCAGTCCTTGTTGGCAGTCCTACAGGTTGGTTTTTACCTCCTGTGAAACTTGATAATAATAATAATAATAATAATAATATGTATCCTTACATGTAGGTAGAAGCGGAACAACGATTAGAAATTTGCAGGATGACAGTGGCTGCAGGATTAAGGTACATTTGTTAATGTGGGTTGTCGCTAGTGTTTCTCATTAATTAATATGTGTATCAAAAAGTGGTAGATAAGTAGTGTACTAGTACATGTACATGTAGTTATGTACCTAAAGCGACTACTGTACTATTATTATTTTACCGTCATAGATCTAATGTATCTCAGTGTCTCCTCAAGTGCATTTTGGAAATACATTTAATTATGATGTATAATGTACATGTGTATTTGTATGTTTCTATTACTCTGGCTTCATTGGTCATGTTGCATTCATTGTATGCACACTGCAGTAGCATTAATTGATTTTTTTAGGTATTTCGAAATGATGATGGTGACGTGTACACAAAAGTACAACTGAAAGGATCCACTGATACTATTGATTGTGCTAAAAACTTAATATCAAGAATTACAAAATTAAGAGGTATATAGACTGAGAGTATTTGGCTGTAATAAAGTATTTTTCTTGTTTGTGGTCTTGTTTGTGAGTTTGTACAATTAACCAACTGGTGTACACGTAATAGATTATGTAATTAACTATTCTGTATGTCTGGTAAATTTTGGTCTTTATTCAAATTTTGATTGAATATGGCTGTGTGTGAAAATTTTATTTTTGTGTAAATTTTTGTATGCAAAATGTCTTTGTTTCTTTCTAAGTATGTCTCCTGCAGTAGTCTCAAACATTTGTTTTGTGAGATCCTTCATAAAATCTTGAAAGTTTTGTGAGTTTTTGGACTGGAATTACTGTCCGAAAATAAAAATTAATGAATACATGTACCAGAAAATTTTCTTGTACAATATATGGAAATCACCAATATACGGTAGATTTTTATAAGGATGTGTAGTATCAGAGCCATAATACACTGCTGGTTACATTTACATGTACATGTACATATTGATATAGCAAGTTAATCAAATTATTATGGTTTTGTAGTAGGCGTTAGTTTACAGATACTTGCTTAAAGCTGCATGATCCAAAAGTGCCATAAAAGCATGGCTCAACTTAAGATTTATTGGCATCAAACATGGGGCAAGCAATTACGCTCATGTGCTTATACTGGTAAGCACTTTAAGCACTTTTTGTAAATGCTTGAAGGTGCTTGCAACTTGGCTCAAGTTCAGGTTGTAACCTAATTGTAGTAGGTACATACAGTATGGTATGAACTCTATTCTTTTATGTACATGTATGTACACGTATACATTTTACAGGAATAATGAAACCTGAATTTAGGTCACTTAACTAAAAATGCCTCTGTTTAGAGGGGCTTCCCCTTGTATAAATTTGTGTTGGCAATGTTGAAATAGAAACCACTTTTCAAGTTCAACTATAGCAGTGCTGTATTACATGTACCTACTGGATTTGGAAAAAAATTTGAAAAATCTCTGAATTCTTGTTAGTTAGCCCACTCACTGTATTGAAAACTTGATGTACATGTATGACCAACAAAGGTTGCTATGAGAACGCAACATTAGTTAAGGTCATTTAAGCTCTGTATCTGGGTCAGAGATAATTAAAACAGGAGAGCGTGTCATGCACAGAGATTTTTGCTTGTGAACAAAATTGTGTGGACAGCTTGAACCATATCTTTGCCCTGAATAGTGAGTGGGTCTGGCTTATGAAACTGTTGGTGTGTATAGATGGAGAAAATTCATTGATAGCTACCGTATAGTACAAAATTTTTGAGGGCTGTAAATTTTGCAATTCTGCCTATAAATCTATTTTGAGGATTTAATTTCACAAATTTATGCCATCTTGTACCGTAATAATTTGATTTTTGTTGGAGTAATTTTCATGAATCTGTAAAAATTGCAAAATTTACAGCCCTCGAAAATTTTGCGCTATACAGTATCTTGAAGCTTGAATTCTTAGTTTCCTTTTGAATGGCATGTTAAAGTGAAATTTTAACTTCTGTCTCAGCCATTGCTTGGCATATACATTTATGTACAATTGTACATGATGATGTTAAACATTGTCATGATTTACATGGCTGCATATTGTGGTCCTGGTGTTCAGTTATGTTTTATGTTAGTTTAGAAGAATAATAGGTGTTGATGCAGACAAAAATATTGTAAACTCACCTGTGTGGGAACAACGTAGCTAATTAATTTCTCAAATTTTATCCCAATTAGAATAAAAATTTTGGCTAATTGAAAATTATTGTGCATGTAGTCATGTTACTCATGTACTATAATTTAGAAAGTTTGGGTTATGAAAAGCTACATGTATAGTAATTTATTTTCACTATCTTAGTTACTGGTGACCACTCTGATGATGAAAGCAGAGTGTCGGGATGGGGCAAGAGTTATGTTTCATCTAATCAAGATGATTGTAGCAGTAAGAATCAGACTACAGATGATTGGGATGAGCCTGATACTACTGCAACTCCTGTGACTCAGAGTTCAAGAACATGGTCTAGTGATATGATGTGGTCTAGTGGCAGTAGTCATACATCTGGTAGTAGTCATGGTTTTAAATCAGGTTTTAACCGTCGGCAGATTAAAATTGCTGATAGAGGCAGAGGTAGTTCCTACCAGCAGCATTCCAGTTCAAGGCAGCACCATGGAACTTCTCAGTTGTATGATGCAAATATTGAAAATCATTGTTGTGATGTGATGTCTTTTACCTCTTGCAGTAATGTTCCAGATAGCTCAGGTACTGAAAGGAAAGTTCAAATAGATTGGGCTGCACTACATGCTGGTCGTGCTGAAGCAGTTGCTAAAAAATGGAAGGGTATGTGTATAGTCAAGCACATTACATGTTTCATTCATTTTATTGCTTGTAATTTTTGTCATTTGTAGGGCTGCCTGATATTGTGAAGGATTTTTATAATGAAGATACTGAAGTAGCTAGCCTTTCCTATAGTGATGTAGAGGCTTTTCGGTAAATTGATGAAGTTAACAATATTTAGTACATGTATTTCCAATGATTCACAATGGATTGCATTGCAACTGAAGGGCTCATTTATGAACTGCCTGCATAAATTAACTGCATTTATGTACATGTGAGACTCGGAAAATTTTTAAACTCTTGAATATTGAATGGCCCAAATGTACATGTACATGTACACATGTATGTGTTACATGTACATTATAATAATTATAATGATTTACAATAGTGATGTTACTTACATACATGTACATGTACATGCACATGTATACATGTGTGTTCCTCAATTTTTATGTGAAATTTACATTATGTGCATGTACATGTACATGTACATGTAACTGGCTGAAATAAGTTCTTATAATAATTACTATTTTTATAATGGACTCCTGTTGCTGTACATTAATTGTTTTGGTACATGTAGAGCTACATGTATGGTGATTAGAATTTACTTTGGGTAAATTTCCTTGATGACAAACTTGCTCTGTTATTGAGCAGCCATTTTGTTCATGATACAATTTGCATGTACAATGTATGTACTTGTACATGTACAGTGCATGTATATCCTCTTGTTGCTGGCTGTAATCAGGGTTTGCTCCAGGATTGTGACAATGAAGGGTAGCCAGACTAACCACACCTACTTTGCATAGGCAGACAATTACAAAAGCTTGTTATTTACAATTATTATGCATGTACATTGTACATGTGCAACATGTACTGTACTTGTTATGCTCTATCTTGTTACTGCATCCAAAAAGGGCTTTAATGCTTTTAAAAAGACCTTCAAAAGTAGCCTTGCGAGAACATATGTACATGTATTTATAACTACATGTAATTTCTTTATCCCATGGCACTTAGACATAAAGGTGTATACTGTACATGTACATGTACATGTATGTACCACCTAGCTGGCAGTACCTTTGGTTTTACTGAATAAAGTACATGTATATTAATTGCTTTTGTGAAATAATTTTTGTTGTTAGTGAATAAATTTATGTGCAATTATTTTAGCATAATTATTTTTTTAATCTACTAAAATGATATAATGCCTAATACACATGTACATGTACATGTAGGTTATTTTTACTGGTGTGAATTTGTTTGACTTTTGTGGTTCTGATTTTTGATAAGCAAATTACATGTACATGTATGTATACATTAACAAATGGATTTTGCAAGTGATGCCAATTTTGTTTAAGCAGTGATGTATACAATTGTTTTGTACTTATAGTTTGATTGAACAATCGTTACAGTTAAGAAACTAATTTTGTAAACTAATGAAACTGATTTACATGTACATTTACTTGGTGTTTTTGATACTGTTGCATCTAACTGATGACTTAATTATACAGTTTGACCTTGTTTAGCAGCTACAGCTACATCATGTACATGTACATGCAGGTACATGTACATTTATGTCTTATAGAGAATCTGTAGAATTAACCAAATTCAAATTTGCTGATTTTTGCCAATTATTTTGACTTTGTACTGTTTATTTGATTATATGTATTATGTATGATACTTATGTGATAGACATTGTATTTTGAATGCTACATGTAGGTCTGATAGAAATGGAATTAGTGTTGTTGATCTCTCAGACAAGGACAGATTGATACCAAATCCTGTAAAGACCTTTGAGCAAGCTTTTCGTGACTATCGTAAGTGCCCTGTTGAAGTAAAAGTGATCAATGAATATTATTCAGTAAAATAATTCTTTTTTTGGCAATAAGAAGTAACTCTTCAGTTGCACGACAAGTTTTATTCTAATCTTTGAATTGAACCACCTGATACACTGACTTGCAATTTATATTTCATTTCTTCTGCACCACAGCATTTTAAGAGTTACAGTCTATGTGGTTTATATTTAAAGTATATGTACCTCAATTTTACAAAAAACTGGTAGTGATACGTGTACATTTGAGATTATGTACATGTACATGTAGAAGTAGAGGGAAATGTGAGCCTTGGAGTTAAACCAAATTTAAGCAATAATTAATTTTTGTGATGGTGGTAATAATTGGAGTTGTACCGATGTGGGTTTTAGCCAATTTTCTGATATTGACAAAGCCATTACTGGCCGATACTGATCTGATATTTTTCTTCCTACCTTTTGGGCAGAGATTTATGCATGTAAAATGTGATTTATACACTTCCCAATTTAGTATCATGACTAATTTTCAAGTAGTCGCAGTTATAGAATCATTTTGTCATGTACAGTATCACATAATTGTATTACAATTAATTGATTAACCCTTTATTCTTATGCATATGGTCATGTGTTCCAGCCTGTATCTGCAAGATGCATGCAAAGAAACTCATAACTGATACTATAAAAAGCAAGCCAATAAGCCAATACCTGATATGCCGATATAGATGACAAGGAGCTTGGATACATTTACAAACAATAAGAGCAAGAATAAAATCTGCTTTTTATTTAAAGGTCTATGCAATATCTTTACCTTTGCTTAAGTAGTATACATGTAGTTTAGCCATCTGAGACAGGACTAGTTATTGCTAATTGTAACTGACTCAGCAGCATGTAGGTATCACTTTTATTAGACTTTACTGCATACACTGAGGTTTTTGAGTCAAGTGAGTATAGTTAGTGTGGTAATTAACTGCTGCTGAAGTGAAAAGACAGAGAAAACTTCATTTTTATGAAGGTTGAGTAGGTAGAGGAAGTGATAATGCCTGACCATGCAACCTCCTGTTAAGGCATCTATGTAGTATGTCAAACATGTACATGTAACCCATGTTTGTTATGCATTCTATATTTGGTTTTGGCCTAAATAGTTTTTGTGTTGTTGATATTGACTTTGTGAGTACAGCTTTATTGCTCATTCTTCTTTATCTCTTATAGCGGAGATTATTGATCAGATTTACAAGCAAGAGTTTGTTCATCCTAGTCCAATACAAGTAACTGTATATTGTAACAGCCAGCAGCTTAATACTGTTGTATTTTATAGTGTCAAAGTTGGCCTGTATTGCTAAAAGGCTTTGATATGGTTGGAATTGCTCAAACTGGTACTGGAAAAACACTTGCGTTCTTGCTGCCTGCTTTGATACATATTAATGGACAGACTGTGTAAGGATTGTTGCATGAATTTCCATAGTGGCACAAATAATCCTTTCTGCATAGACTTTCACTATGTTAAAAGTTGGATGGGATTTGCTATAAAACAAATTTATGCAAGGTTCTTTGTTTTCCCCTGCTTTATAACCAATTGCAAAATTTTAGAAGGAAGGCCTATCTTTACATCATGCATGTCTGCTGCAAGGCTATTGTATTGTTGTAATCCAGGTTTGGTATAGCTCATCTGTTGTTTGGATTGTACTTGTATAATCATCATTGTATATTGATGTAACCCTTATATTTTTGTTAAATATTAGGCCAAGATCTGAGCGCTCTGGACCTACTGTTCTGGTATTATCACCAACCCGAGAGTTAGCTCTTCAAATTGAAAAGGAAGTACAAAAGTTTTGCTATAAAGGAATAAGGAGGTATTGCATTTAAAGTTGTAGGTTGCACAAGTACATGTGCATTTGTACATGTATGTGCATGTGTGTCTTGTTGCTTTAGTACACTTGGAAGCATAGTATTTAGCTCCATTATTTTAAAATAATTAAAAGTTTTAGAATATTTTAATGCAATAAAATTTTCACATCATACTATGGAATAATTTGCAAGTCAAAGCACCCCTAATATGTTTTGTAGATTTAAAAATGTATTTCTCATGGAAGTAATTGCCATGCATTTAAATGTATATTAACCTCACCTATGGAATGGAAAGTAGTAGTTTTCCAGAGCTTTAATTTTGTGGTTAATGTACTAATCTCTGAAAACTTTTTAAATGTAGTTTTTGTGCTCAGAAGTATAGCACTAGCATGTTAGTTAATTTTTATTAGTGAGGTAATGACTCAATTTAAATAGTAGGACTTACCTTTGTCATTATTCTATATTAGTATAGCATCACAATGTGCTATTTTGATCTTGTGGCCTAATCTTTGCCAGTTATTGGTACGTATTTCTTACAGATCAGAGCATCAGTTGTTGCTCTAAAGTTGTGCAGCAATGTATTTCCACCATTTTAACAATTTTTTAGTTACCCTTTATTCTACTCTGTTTGCACAAATTTTACAAATGCACTATCATTGTGTAAATTTTAGAATTTGATTTATTTCTTTTGCTTTGCATTTGCTTCTCTAATTTATATTGTCTGTGTACAATGTACATGTATGTAATGTTCAATTATTTATCATTTTGTGTATACTTTTTTTGGTAGCGTTTGTGTTTATGGAGGTGGCAACCGTAAAGAACAAATAAAAACTGTAGGAAGAGGAGTTGAAATTGTAATTGGTATGTCAACTTATAATTATGTTTTTTAGTGCAGTAGTGCTTTGTTGTCCTATTGCATGTAATTAGATCCTTCGAAAATTTAGTGCTGGCTAATTGTATGTACATGTACAAATGTATGCCGCTGTTCAAGTGTAGTAAGATGACCTGGAAAGTGAATTCTTTATTTTGTTGCCTTTGTTAATTAATCCCTGTTGTTTTGCAAAAATGATGTTACTCTATTACCCCTTTACATTAATTGACTGTTTCTGCACTGGGGTTGTTTTCCAATTTTACTTATTTTGGCGGTTTTGTGGCTTACCACAAAATTTAAACCAACAAAATTGAATTGCCATCCCTACAGGCTATGTAAACTGTCAACCACCAAGAATTAAGACCACAAATTTCCCCACTGGGAGCAAACCACAATTATTAGACCCTGCTATACTGTATCAATATTGAAGTTACATTTGTATAATAATCTTTTTTGTTGAATTCTTAGCTACTCCTGGCCGTCTTAATGATTTGTTGATGAATGGTGTTTTGTGTCTTCGTAGTGTCACATTTCTGGTAATCTTAAAACATTTGTGTGATGTTTTATTATACTACCAGATACTTGATGAAGCTGATAGAATGCTTGACATGGGTTTTGAACCCCAAATTAAGAAAGTACTATTAGACATACGGCCTGATCGGCAAACTGTAATGACCAGGTAAAGAGTTTTTATCTTTGCTATAGTCTATGAAACATGGATATGTGATTTTGTTTTACCATTAGTCTTTAAAATGTGTGGATTCTTGTATTTTGCCAATTTTATACATGTACAATAGTTCAATCCTGCTGCTCAAAGACTTAGCTTTCTTGTGAGTCAATTGATCAAACTGTGAGAGCTTGAAATATTTAGAATATCAAAAAAATGTACAGCAAAGCACCAAAAATTGTGATTGATTTTTTTCGAGTAGTAGCCTGGAACAAAACAGTGTGTGATGGACTCAGACAGAGGGAAGTTTTAAAGTGGCCATGTTATTGTACCCTACTTTTTTTAGTGACATGTACATTACAGTGTGATATGCTCCTAACAGTCAAATAAAATCTGAAACATGTCATAATTATTAATTTAGTGCTACGTGGCCCCCTGGTGTCAGAAGATTAGCAGAATCATACATGACTGATCCATTCCAAGTTACTGTTGGAACTTTAGATCTACAAGTATGACTGTCTGATTGTGTTACTTATTTTCTTTTTATAGGCTTGTAAAGCAGTTGTTCAACAAGTAGAGTTTATTGAAGATAGCGACAAAAAAGAAAGAGTAAGGTGTCAAAGTTCTTCTAATGTTAATGTACATGTATGCTTTAGGTAATGGAGTTCATTAATGACATGATAGATGGAGAGAAGGTGTTGATCTTTTGTAGTAGGAAAGCAACGTAAACTAAATTATTATTTTACTTTACAATAACTTGCCACTCCATCCTATACATGTATGCTTGCAGTCTGCTTTAATGTGCATGTACATGTACATGTATGTTTATTCTTTTTATTAGTGCTGATGATTTAGCAAGTGACTTATTGCTCCATGGATATCCTGTGCAATCAATTCATGGTGATCGGTAAGGTTTTAATTACATGTACTTGTAATGTTTTGCTTTTGCAGGGAACAGGAAGATAGGGAGCAAGCATTAGAAGACTTTAGCACAGGTATACATGTACATGTACAAAAGCATTAATTATTATGGTGGACAAACAAAATTATGCTCTTATTTGAGTGTTTTATTTGCTGCCATTAATTTTTGTGTACACTATTTGTATTGCGAAATGCATCTTATTTTTCATATGGTACATGTGTATTATATAATCATTAATATCAATTTTGTATTCCTGTTATCTTGCTAGGTGCTGCACCTATTTTAGTAGCCACAGATGTTGCTTCTAGAGGCATTGACATCAAAGATATAACGTAAGTAGTATTAACTATGTACATAAGCATGTAGTGGTGTTTGTAGGTTTGTGATAAACTTTGATTTTCCAATGCATATTGAAGATTATGTTCACAGAGTTGGTCGAACTGGACGGGCAGGGTATAGTTGACATGCTATGTATTTTAAGATTATTTTTGTTTTAGATCAACTGGAAAAGCACTAACTTTTATGTCTCGCAGCAATTGGAAATGGGCAAGGCAGCTAATAAAAATTTTGTCTGATGCTTGTCAAGTCAGAATTGCAATACCTTTTTGTAATGTCATTTTATACCAGGTTGTTCCTTTGGAGCTAGTTTCAATGGCTGAAAGATATGACAAGTGGTGTGAACGCAATAGAGATGGACGTAGATACTAAGCATTCAGGAGTAAAAAAACATGAAAATTATAATTATTGTCATGATTTACAACATGTACATTGTACATCATTATAATCATGTTATACATTAAAGTTTTGATGAATTGTTAACGATGTCCCCATTTTATAAATTTTTTTCCATATTTGTTCATTGCTGCAGTTCTCAGCTTCTCAGCATGTTTACCACCTCGAGTCTCAACTACACATTCAATCTAAATGTCATAATAGTAAACACAGACAGTAAAATTAAACATTTACATGTACCTCAACATTAAATATGCTTCCTTTCAACCATGTTCTTTCGTGAACTATATCTTTGACACTAGTAAGGAGACAAATTCTGACTGCTTGGTAGAATTGTATTTGCATAGCAAGAAAGACAATACAGAAGCTGCTTGCACATGTAATGAATCAGAATAACAATACTTTTCATGAAAGTTTATGAATAATTTTGATTCCATTCGCAATAGTGTTACAAGCAACTTACTGCCAAAATACATTGTATGTATACATAATTATTTTCAGGAACTGCAAGTGTTCAGTGTTTACATCTTACAAGCATAAAGCACAACAATTTGGTTAATGTAAATGTACATGTAAATCTGTGGTTAATGTAGGTAACAGTTTAATCCATTATTAGAGTGGTCTTGGTCTATTCTATTATTATCAATAGTTCAACTGATTTAAATCGAAGTAATTATAGTGTGTACATTTAATTTTAATGGTTACAATTGCATGTACATGTACAATAAGACAGAGTTTGTACCTGACCCCTTGTTCAAAAAGAAATTCAACGAGCCCTTTTAAACCACCAGGACGGTCATCAACCAAAATAGTTAATCGTACTAATCGACCATCAGCAGCCAAACCTCTGTCAATGCATCGACCAAGTACAGTTGTATCAATGTTGCCACCAGATAACACTATTACAACACTAAAAATTTGAAATAAATCTAATGAATAAAAAACAGTTATTACAACACTAAAAATTTGAAATAAATCTAATGAATAAAAAACAGTATATTCTCATCATACTGAAAACTGGAATGTTAATACCTCAGTCAATTAAAAATAACATCATTGCAGAATGCTCAATACAATTGTCCTATACCATAACCAAACATAATGTCTACATACATTCCACATGTATGTAGATAGTTAATCAATCAATCTATGACTAATCATTGTTTTAATATCATCTCACATAATAGTCTGGAAATTTTATATACCAATTGTATTACTAAGTATGTACATGTAATTGTGAAAGCCTCCAAAATCGAATTGTAGCACAATAAAAGTCTCTTATCATACATCCTTGTTTGTTGTAACCACGCAGAAACAAGTACTGTACATGTAATCATGCACAGTACACACTACACAGTACTATTAAAAATGTGGCTGCAGCATATGCCTTTTTACTTTTTTCCTTGTAAATCAGAGAGTTGACCAGATAAACAAGCGGCTAGACCAGTAGCACCAGCTCCTTCAACAACAGCCTTTTCAATTTCTACTAGCCTTAAAATTGCTAATGCAATATCATCTTCACTGTAAAAAGTAATCAATGATTTATTGATATACAAAAATTAAGCTAACCTTACAACAACTGTTCGATCTACGTTTCCCTTTGCAGTAGCAAGTGCAGAAGGGCCAACTTTAGGCACAGCTAGACCATCAGCTAGGGTAGGTTTAGCAACAGTTTCTACAGGATATCCAGCTTTAAGCGATTCACTAAAAGAAGGACATTTTTCAGATTCAACTCCCTAGAAATGATGCAAACTGAAACATACATTGAAATTAAATCCAAAAACTAACAATTACTTGCACTTGAGGCATAAGGTGCTTTATTACAACTGAAATACCAGCAATCAATCCTCCTCCACCCATAGGAACAACAACAGCATCAATTTTATGTGACAAAGTCTCCATCTGTTCCAAAATTTCAAGAGCAATGGTCCCTTGGCCAGCAAGGATATGAGGATGATTATATCTGACAAAAACAATTATCACAACATGGTACATGTACATATGTATATTATAAAGCTGTTGCTAACATTCTACATGTACTGTACATGCTTGAGATCCAGCACTACCTTACATGTACATGTGCATTACAAGGCTTTCTATCCCCAATACATTGCATGTACACATAATACATGACATGTATCAGAAAAGTGGCCTAGCATTATATCATCACAATAACATTATTTTTAAGATTGTTGTTATTCCATTGTATAGTGAACAAGCTCACCAGATGTGTAAAAGGCGTTTATTACAACTTGCAAGGCTGATACAGTTTCAAATTGTAGGTTTTCACAAGGTTGTAGCAAGGTAGTGACTATAGTGATAGTCTAATCACAACCTAACAACAACAACCTAGTAACAAGGTTGTCACAACAATGCTGCAATTTTGGTGTATTTCTGTGAGCTGCTATTTACTCACCCATTAATATACTGAAGATTAGATTCTTTTCCTTTCAATGTGGCAAATTTTTTGGCCTAAAAATTATTGTAATGAAACAAAATCGTGGTAATTTTACATGAAGAGTGCCATAACACACAGAGAAATTTGTACGTTTGTAAACGTTATAACACCCCCACTAGGGATACATCGCATTTATATGACTCAGCCCGAGGGCCGCAGACCCGAGGGTGAGGTCATACAAATGCAATGTATTCTGCAGCCAGGGTTTTATCAACATATTTGTGTGATAATGAGTGTGTGTATCAAAGGCGCGCGCCAATGCGCATGCTCAGGCTTCACTCCTCATGGTAGAAACAGAAAGGTCAAGGTCGAGAAGGTCAACAAAATGGAAGCAGAGAAGAAGAATGCCGAGGAGAGAGACCAGCTACAACCGATTCCAAAGCATCGGAAGGTGTCCTTATCACTATCAAAGGATGGGTTTCACTTTGCTATTGAGGACAGTGACTTAAAAGAAGCTATGAAAGCCTATTCTACCAAAAATATGGCCGCTAATAACAAATGGGCTTTGGCTAATTATGAGCAGTGGTTTGAGCAGAGAAAGGAGACGCTTCCTGATTATAAATGTAAGCAGCCAATGGAAGTGCTTTTAAGTAATGACCCAAAAGAAATTGGCCATATTTTGAGCTTGTATGTAAAGGAAACGAGGAAGGTGGATGGTAATGAATATACCCTGAAGACTTTGTACATGCTCTTGGCTGGATTACAGTGACATATGCGTCTTCAGAAAGGGCGTGCATCGGCCATCAACATCTTCAACAATCCTCGTTTAGAGGCTTTCCATAACGTGTGTGACCATGAATTTCGCCGCCTTCACCATAAGGGTATAGGAGCAGAAGCAAGACATACAGAGACGCTATCAAAAGATGACGAAAATATTCTTTGGGATACTAAGGCACTGGACATAACTATACCCCAGCTGGATTGCTAAATTGTGTCTTTTTCTACAACAGCAAAAACCTCTGTTTAAGGGGAGGAGATGAACATTGCCAACTGAAGTTTTCACAACTGCGTCATGACCTATTGTTTGTAGATAGAGTCCAGAAGAACTGACATATACACTGAGCATGGTAGCAAAAATAGATCTGGTGGATTAGGGCAGTTACACATAAAAAAACAAAGTCGTTCATCATTTTGAAGTCCCAGAAGCTGGAAGCAGAGATTACGTTAAGATCCTAGATTTGTACTTGTCTAAGTTGCCAAAGGAAGCAATTGCAAGAGATAATTTCTATGTTCATCCAGTTCTGTGTTACAAGAAGGGAAGCTATGGTTTACAAGCATTCCCATAGGAAGGAATAAGCTGGTTACTGTGGTCAAGACAATGTGTAGTAAAGCCGGTATAGAACGAAAAAAGACTAATCATAGTCTACGGTCGTTTGGAGTCACTTTGATGTTTGAAGAAAACATACCGGAGAAAATTATTCAAGAGCAATCTGGCCAAAGGTCTATTATAGCTCTTCATGTATATG